TTCATTCATTCATTCATTCATTCATTCATTCATTCATTCATTCATTCATTCATTCATTCATTCATGCAATTTATATGGCCACCCAACTCACAGTAACTCCAGGCGGCTTACAGAAATAAGATCCCAGATACAAAACCCACCACACTCCCCAACCCCTGTTGACAACAATACATTCAGACAAACTACTTGATGGGCTTGTATCAACCTGGGATCCCCAGGCCTGCTGACAAAGCCATGTCTTCAGAGCCTTTCGGAAGCGTATCAAGGTGGGGGCCAGTCTTATCTCTGTGGGGGTGATGTTCCACAGGGAGGGAGCCACCACGGAGAAGGGCCTTCTTCTCAGTCCTGCTAGATGGACCTCCCTAATGGGGGGGGGCATAACATACCCTGCCTCCCCGATCTGGTGGGCTGGGTAGGTATAACTGAGAAAAGGTGGTCCTTCAAATAACCTGGCCCCAAGCCATGTAGGATTTAAAGGTGATAACCAGAACCTTGAACTGGACCCGCAAGCAAGCTGGCAATCAATTCAGCTCCCACAAAAGAGGTAATACAGGTACAAATCTAGACTTCCACGAAACCATGCAAGGGATGATGGTTAGTGCCAGTGTGACCCTGGGGAAAGCAGTGATGAAGCCAGGAATTTTTATTAGGGCATTTCAGGTTAGTTTAGTTGGCATCTGTTAGGGACTGCATTCAGGGATCCGTACATAATCCCCACAGCTCCCTGGCCGCGTGGTTCCTCTCCAGATGAAGAAGAGCAGCAATTTCTTTCTCCTCCAATCTAGGAGAAGATCTGTTAAGACCATGATCCCCAAACTGGGATCCAGAAAGTGTAGTTTGGTGTAGTGGTTAAAAGTCTAGTTTGGTGTAGTGGTGAAGGCATCAGGCTAGAAACTGAAAGATGGTGAGTTCTAGTCCTGCCTTAGGCATGAAGCCAGCTGGGGGACCTTGGGCCAGTCCTTCTCTCTCAGCCCCAAGAAGCAGGCAATGGCAAACCACTTCTGAAAAACCTTGCCAAGAAAACTGCAGGGACTTCTCCAGGCAGTCTCCAGGAGTTAACACTGACTTGAAGGCACCAAAAAAACCCCACAGGTCTGCCACGCAAGAATGTCCAGGAGGATGCCCCACAGGACCCAGAAGACACCAATATTCCTCCTAGGGCCTCCTTCCCCTCCCGGCCACCTGTCAACCCTCCCGGCTTCCTCCTGCTCTCCGCCGCGGAGTCCCCTAAAACCAAAGAGCCTTTGGCTCCAAGGCAGCTGCGACAGGACCATCCTGTTGGCTTCCACGCCGGGCTTCTCACGCCGGGCTGATCTGCACACTTCTCAGGCTGGAAGAGAAGGGGGCTCCGCCAGGGTCACTTTCAATCGATAACTCATCTCCCGGCTTTGCTAGCGGAAGTGATAGCATATTGGAAGAAGTTAATGGCTTTGGTCTAGTGGAAAAGGCTAATCTTCCCCAGCTGTAGAGGGTCTCCACAGGTGGGCCTCCAGTGTCTTCCCGGCACATCGACAGCGGCAGCCCCTCGCTTGCATGCCGTTTTTAAAGCCGCAGTAGCTTCGTGCAAACTCTCAAAAGTTTCTTAGTTAAAGGTTGCAGCATGTTAAAAGCTCCCTTTAAATTTTTCCTTGGGGCCTTCTTTCTCCAGAAGGCAAACAAAGATCTAGGGGCCCTGACATGTGTGTCCCCCATGATCAACTTCACACATTTGGTTTAGTTAGATCACCAGTGCAACCCCCGGGCCGCTGTTCTGTTTGGTATCCTTTAACACAGCTCAGGACAGCCGACGGACTGCCAACATTAGCATTGTTTAAAATTTAATTTTAAAATTTAAAGCACGTTTCGCCCGCTTTTTGCCCTTCCCCAAGACGGCTTACAGACGTTCCCGTTAAGATTGCCCTGGACGATCTTATTTGCAAACAAAATATGATTGTCCAGGATAATTACAGGTTTGCAATCTCAGAAAAAAGGGTTGGGAGGAAGGAGGGGGGGGGGAAAAAAAGACCAGCACGGAGGGCAGAAACTAGCACGGCCTTCCTTTCAACGCCGCCGTCTTCCGATCACCCAGAAGTTGAAATCATCATGTGCTGGATCGTGGCATGACTCATTTTCAGCTAAGAAGAGACTTCCTGGAAGCAGAAAAGGATGTAAAGGAACCTTCAGCTCTTTTGCCTTGGAAGATTTTGTAAGCTATGGTGCTCCCAGCTATGGAGGTTCCACTTAGGGACTGGTGATGAACCAACCCATGCAGAAATTTGCTGGATCTAGAATTGGGGAATTCATGGTCCTCTGGATGCAACCCCCAGTGTCTGTGTATTTATTTTATTTATTCAGCCCATTTATGTGGCCACCCATCTCACCGCAGGCAACTTTGGGCGGCGTACAACAACGCTGAAAACAGTCAATAAATAAATGAAAAATGTAAAAAGCAAAACAGAACAGAGAATAAAAGGAGGTGAAAAATAAGGGAGCCCTCTCACTAATTCCCCCGTCCCCTGGGGTCCCCAGCCTGCTGGCATCACCGAGTCTTGAGGGACCTCCAGAAGCTCATCAAGGACAAGACCAACCTCACCTCAAGGGGGAGAAGATTCCACAGCGTGGGCACCATAGCAGAAAATGCCCACCACCATCCCTAGGT